CTAACCCCCAGATACGTGGAATTCCTGCAGCCGATGCAGACACAATTCTGGCTTCGATGCGGGATTCGACACCCGTTCAGTGTGTTGATAGGTGGGGCACGCTGGTGTGCAGATAGGGGGATTTCATAATCCCTATTCTGCAAATTTAATTTGGATATTGGAGTTACTATAACCTCGTTTTGGTTGAGAGCCTTATGACCTCCACCATTCCCGGATACTCCATGGCTATTTCCACGTTTCACACCTCGTTCGATGGTGCTCTGCTTAAGCAGCACCCTCTCGTACAGCACTTTGTAGCTGGCATGAACTGGGTTTGATCGCCTCGGCGGCGACCAGCCCACCTTGAAATTGCCAATTATTCTCAATTGGCTGTCTGGCCCTGACTTTTCAACTATATTGTCTCTCTCACTTCACTTGTTGACATGGAAGACGGCTTTACTTGTGGTGGTGAGCTCTGGTAGAAGGGTCGGGTACATCCATGCGATTCCCACTGACCCGACACTGACAGTATTTTATACTGATCATGTCCGTATTCGCCTCCCGGATACCTACCACTCTCAGTTTGATATTGCCTTCCACGTGACTGCTCATATCGAACTTCCACCCCTTACTCAGCCTTCCACACCGGGGACCGATCTTTCGATTGCTCACCCGTTGGAGTGACTATAACAAACGAACAAATGAAAGGGATCCGTACGGGTACCCATGTGTTCTGTTTGGTGGCGGGAAGACTGGGGAGTCTGCTAGCAAGCGGACTTTATCTCGTTGGCTTGTTTCCGTAATTGTTCAGTTACAATGCTAAGGTTTACCTTCCCCTGAGGGGTTGAAGGCAGACTGGGTAGGGCAGATGCCGCTTTGTTGGCAATACACAGCGGCACTGCTCAATGAAGAGATCGGTTCTGTCGCTCTTTGGAGCCTACAGAACGCCTTCATTCTCCATTACCGACTTGACACACATTCTGAGGATCATGTGCTCTGTTCGGTCTTTCGGTTCTCTCCAGTGGAGTGTGTCCTGCCACCCTGACCAAGTTAGTAACTGGTCATTGGTATCGGTTCTGTGTTCAATGTCAATATGGTTCATGTCACTACATCGTATAGCCTTACCACCCTTTCGGGTTGGGTCAGGTTTGGGTGTACATACGTCCCTTACGTCCTCTTCACTTAAAGGCAAGAGAGGACGGGGCTGGTTTTGAACGCTATAACAAGTCATATGCTATCAACCCGTCTTGCGACAGAATTGGGTACAAACCCCTACGGGTCATTGTTTGGTATGCCTCTCTTCGAGCCGCATGTCACGTGACCAGGTTAGTGTAATAGTGAGCCAACACATGTTCGGCTACGCTTTCTGCTATTCAGGGGATTTTTGTACGCTAACAGTTTTTTCCCTCTTCCTGAGACTTCAGTATTTGGGAGTCTGTGTTAATCAGCACTTTGGGTGATGGTGGTTTACACTTACCCTCCTCATGCCGAAAGCATTTGGTGGGGGTGTTTTATCCTGCTTTTCACTCGTACAATGCATGGCGTTTGTACTCGTTCACTCAGACTTCTTCTTCCAAACCGGAGGGGTGCATTCGAGCATTAGTTTGCAGTACTTATTAGCTCGACTCCTGGGTTATTGGCTTTTAAGCGTTTTTTACGCTTTCCTTCCCTTATACCTCTCGCCACGCTTCTCTGGTTTGGGCTATTCAGGTTGGGGGTGGTTTCGGCATGTCCCCATACATTCCTTTCCATTGTAATGGTTGGGGGTGGGGTTTTATGTCATAATTGATTTGAGCCAATTGACGTATTAGCTTGGGCTCTCTATTTCCTGCCCTGGCCACGCCCCCGCCTGATTGACATCAGCGGTCAGGTGGCTTGGTAAGTTTTTTTCTATTTCCGTATCGGTTGTAGATTTATCGGGTCTTTGGGAGTCTGTCTTATGCTTATATGTACCCCAAGGAGGACTTCTTCTGAAAAAGAATTATACAAACCTGTAGAGGTTATGAATTCTTTGAGGAAAGTCCTCCTTGGGGTACGGCCACCCGCCTCCCCTCATTCTGTCTGAAACGTTCAGCATGAAAAGTGAGGTATGAGGTAGATGGCGAGAGTTACCTGCTCTTGGCTGTAGGGTGTCCGGTGGGGCCCTGTAAGGGTGGTCTCACAAGACAAAACGAGTTTTTTGTTTTGTAAATATTTTATTGAAAAATATAGTTACAACTGTCGTAGGATTTGAAATGGACATTTTAATGCTTATATGTATCCCAAGGAGGACTTTCTTCAGAGAATTCATAACCTCTACAGGTTTGTATAAATTTTCATGACTCCCAAATATTGAAAATGACTGCTAAAAATAAATACAGTGAGTCACCATGACTCCCATTTTTCAAAGTCAGTGTAGTCTAAATGTAGCAAAATTTAAGCAAAGAGAACTGTTTCATTTAAGCTTTCCTTGTCCTAAACACAATTTATTAGTCTCAGGCCATGAGACTAGCATATATTTTACAGGCTGGGAACATTATTGCAGGACAACAGAAATGTCATTTCATCTTAACTTTCATCAAAGATCAAATTATCATAAATGCACATTTCCACTAAATGGGCTGCATATCTCCTTTGAATGCCCTGCATACCATATTTTCTCTAATAAGCGCCCAGGAACTTATTTTTTCAACAGAGTTCCCAACCCGACTCTTACTAGAGGACCGGCGCTTTTGCGTTTACTGGGTGTAATTACCGTAATTGTTAGTGAGCTGCTTTGACCCTGGCGCTTATTAGAGACATGGCACTTATTAGAGGAAATACAGTATTTCCCCCAAATGTGCTACATTTCTTCCCCTGAATGTGCTACATACTTCCCTGGATGTTCTGTATACTTCCCCTGGATGTGCTGCATATTACCCCTGAATGAGCTGCATACTTCCCCTGAATGTGCTGCATACTTCCCCTGAATAAGCTGCATACTTCCCCTGAATGTGCTGCATACTTCCCCTGAATAAGCTGCATACTTCCCCTGAATGTGCTGCATACTTCCCCTGAATGTGCTGTATACTTTCCCTGAATGTGCTGCATACTTCCCCTGAATGTGCTGCATACTTCCCCTGAATGTGCTGCATACTTCCCCTGAATAAGCTGCATACTTCCCCTGATTGTGCTGTATACTTTCCCTGAATGTGCTGCATACTTCCCCTGAATGTGCTGCATACTTCCCCTGAATGTGCTGTATACTTTCCCTGAATGTGCTGCATACTTCCCCTGAATGTGCTGCATACTTCCCCTGAATGTGCTGCATATTACCCCTGAATGTGCTGCACATTTCCCCCAAATGTGCTACATTTCTTCCCCTGAATGTGCTACATACTTCCCTGGATGTTCTGTATACTTCCCCTGGATGTGCTGCATATTACCCCTGAATATGCATACTTACAATGCTTCCTGAATGTGCTGCATACTTCCCCTGAATGTGCCATTTCACCTGATTTGCTGCATACTTCCCCTGAATGAATGTGCTGCATACTTCCCTGAATGTGCTGCATACTTCCCATGAATGTGCTGCATACATACTTCCCCTGAATGTGCTGCATACTTCCCCTGAATGTGCTGCATACTTCCCCTGAATGTGCTGCATACTTCCCCTGAATGTGCTGCATACTTCCCTGAATGTGCTGCATATTTCCCTGAATGTGCTGCATACTTCCCCTGAATGTGCTGCATACTTCCCCTGAATGTGCTGCATATTTCCCCTGAATGTGCTGCATGTGCTACTTCCCCTGAATGTGCTGCATACTTCCCTGGATAAGCTGCATACTTCCCCTGAATGTGCTGCCTGATATGTGCTGCATATTTCCCCTGAATGTGCTGCATACTTCCCCTGAATGTGCTGCATACTTCCCCTGAATGTGCTGCATACTTCCCCTGAATGTGCTGCATACTTCCCCTGAATGTGCTGCATACTTCCCTGAATGTGCTGCATACTTCCCCTGAATGTGCTGCATACTTCCCTGAATGTGCTGCATACTTCCCCTGAATGTGCTGCATACTTCCCCTGAATAAGCTGCATACTTCCCCTGAATAAGCTGCATACTTCCCTGAATGTGCTGTATACTTTCCCCTGAATGTGCTGCATATACTGAATGTGCCCCCCTGAATGTGCTGCATACTTTCCCTGAATGTGCTGCATACTTCCCCTGAATGCTGCATGCTTCCCCTGAATGCTGCATACTTCTGAATGTGCTGTATACTTCCCTGAATGTGCTGCCCTGAATATTATTTCCCCTGAATGTGCTGCATACTTTCCCTGAATGTGCTGCATATTTCCCTGAATGTGCTGCATACTTCCCCTGAATGTGCTGAATTCCCCTGAATGCTGCATACTTCCCCTGAATGTGCTGCATACTTCCCCTGAATGTACTGCATACTTCCCCTGAATAAGCTGCATACTTTCCCTGAATGTGCTGCATATTTCCCCTGAATGTGCTGCATACTTCCCCTGAATGTGCTACATACTTCCCCTGAATGTGCTGCGTATTTCACCTGAATTTGCTGCGTACTTCCCCTGAATGTGCTGCGTATTTCACCTGAATGTGCTGCGTACTTCCCCTGAATGTGCTGCATACTTCCCCTGAAGGTGCTGCGTATTTCACCTGAATGTGCTGCGTACTTCCCCTGAATGTGCTGTGTATTTCACCTGAATGTGCTGCGTACTTCCCCTGAATGTGCTGCTTATTTCCCATGAATAGGCTGTATATTTCCCCTGAATGTGCTGCGTATTTCACCTATATGTGTTGTGTACTTCCCCTGAATGTGCTGCGTATTTCACCTGAATTGGCTGCGTATTTCACCTGAATGTGCTGCGTACTTCCCCTGAATGTGCTGCGTATTTCACCTGAATGTGCTGCGTACTTCCCCTGAATGTGCTGCGTACTTCCCTGAATGTGCTGCGTACTTCCCCTGAATGTGCTGCGTACTTCCCCTGAATGTGCTGCGTACTTCCCCTGAATGTGCTGCATGTTTGTCCCACTCACCTCACTTAACATCTCGTAGAAGGCATCAGCATCATCTTCTGACAGCTTGGAGGCATCTGCCGCCATGATGCGATCCCACGATAAGGGAGGCATGATGATTGTTGATGCTTATTCAGACGGTATCTGGCAACAAAATTGTAAATTTAACAATTTCAAGTACCTAGCACTCTTGTAAACTGTGCAAACTGTGTTAAATGAACGCACAATATTAAAAATATTTACTAACAACAAAACATTCCTCCCCCACCCATGGCTTACATGTTTTAGCAAGCTGCAATGGCGGTAGGGTCATATTGGTTTCAGAATGTTCCAGAACTTACTGCAAAGATGAATACTTTAACATTCTAAAATTAGCCATGACATTCCACTGAAATAAATCACTTTTTCAAATGCGACGAATTGTTTTATGTAATTTGCATATGTAAACAACCGACCCTGGGCGTGGTGTTTCTGCTTTCTCGAGAAACCTGTTTATTCATGACTGTCAAGTAACCACCACGCTTGGGGATTTTACGGGACGCTTTAATCACCTCGCGTAGTGTTCGCACCCAATCGAGTTGGCTCCACAGCGATTGAATTAATTAGAGTAATGCTCTTCAGTTAGTATACGATAGACCGTCTCGCGTACACATTACGTCTCTGATTGTTTAAGTGAGTTGAAATATAACATTCAGTATTTTCACAGGATTGATTCCTTAAGTGCTCCCAAAAAGTCTGAGTTGATGTTACATTTGATACTCAGTCCTGCATCAGTGATGACAATTACAACTTTCTGCAGGATACATAAGTTGTGTGATTGTTTGTTTCTTGTTTTAAGCCACACCCAGCAATACTGACATGTGTCAACCAAAGCAGCGAGCCTGACCACCCGATCCTGTCAGTTGTTTCTTGTGTCAAGCATGTGTTCCTGATGACCAATTCTAACCCAGATCTCCACAGATATATAAGTTGTGTGAGCATGGTAGTACATACAGCATTGACTCATTTAACCTCATTACACTTACAGGAATAATGTTAATGAGACCTCAACAATCAAAACAAACTTGTTTAATCATCAGGGTGCCTGGTGGTCAGCTGGCTTTGTAAACCACACAATGCAACACTATGATGATGTTGGGGTTTCAAAAATGTATAAGTGAGTGAGTGAGTTAGGTTTTACGCCACACTCAGCAACATTCCAGCTATATGGTGGCAATCTGTAAATAATCGAGTCTGGACCAGACAATCCAGTGATCAACAACATGAGCATCGATCTACCCAATTAGGATACGATGACATGTGTCAACCAAGTCAGCAAGCCTGACCATCCGATCTCGTTAGTCATCTCTTACGACAAGCATGGGTTGCTGAAGATCAGTTCTAACCCTGATCTTCATGGGTAAAAAAATGTATACAGCATATAATATGAATTACAATGTTCTTACTTCCTCACAGTGTGACCTAACTGTATATCATTTGTAGTTTACCTTCATAACGATATCTAACTTCAGCAAATTCAAAAGGACTAATTGTGGTAATTTCACCAACTAGCCACCTGTGAAACACCTGGTATTGTTAGTTTTAAATTTTTCTACATTAACTGTAACTTGGAAGCACCTGGATGTGGCAAGTAACGATAAGCAAGAAACCTTGGTGGAAATGTAGATGTCTGAATAAAGATAGACATGTGACATTCATGTTAAAGTGTACATTCATTGACAATCGTCCATGTGGTTAATTGACCAAAACATTTACCAATAATCAGTTGGAATTGCCGTGTTTTTTATGCCAACACATGTAGTAGGTTTTAATCGGCTTTATAATCAGATTTCAAATGATAATAAAAACATGTTATATTGCGTTTAGGGTTCGAGTCCAGGAAATAGTATATTTAGTCTCTTGATGTTCCGTGATGATATGGATAAGTTTGGACCACATTTCTTTGAATGACGATAAAATGAGTTTTTACTGTGAATCATACGGTTTTGAGAAGCGTTATCAACATAACCAGACCATGATAAACGATTAGAGAATATCTGTCAAAACAACAGCAAAATCTCCTTCCTAATACCGTTAATTAAAACGTGTCGACTGATACATCTACAAACAAAACAAGCAGCAATATCGATGCGTGTAAACAATAACAAATGTTTGACATGTCCAATCACGAATGCTCAATTTCTATCAGCGCAATCGAGATTATCTGTCGTATTCCAACTTAAGTGGAAATGAAAAATAACACATACACACACAGTCTTTACTTCGCTGAAAATGCCAAGATAAACAATGATGTTACGAATAAACAATAAGTACTTACATTACGAATCACATAATAACCAACTTTGGAATGTCCGCCATATTTCTGCCACAGTACAATTAGGTGCGCGCATATTCAAACAGGAAGTAGAATTAGCAGCGCGCTCATCCATGGAAACGGGACGCTAACCCAGCGAAAACGCTGTCAGAAAGAGTTATTTATGCTTATAATTCAAAGTTGACATGCCATAACCAATACATGATGTAGTTTGAACAAATATAATTAAAACCCAGATAATGAGACGTATTAGAACAAAAGACGTACAGGCTAACCTATTATACCTGGATGATTGCCTCAGATGTTTTACAGAATAATGAAACGTAAATAAGTAAGAATAAAATTAAACCCTCCACCTTTATTACTGAAACTGATTATTAATTCAAATTAAACAAATAAATAATTAACCCTTTGATAGATGTAGTATTTGGCTTCTGTCACCATTACATATTGCTGAGTGCCAATGGGCAGGCTGTTGATTCTGTCTTTAAGGGTTGTAAACAGCTTGACAACTTTTAAAATGTGGTTTAAACAGTGTTATTTTCTTCAAAATGGATTGATCAACAGGCGCAATGGCTAAATGAAGATCTCTCAAATGCAGGAATATTTAGTATATCTCAACACAAAGTGGGTGATAAAAGGTTCAACATCAAATAGGGGCGGTGGGGTAGCCTAGTGGTTAAAGCGTTGGCTCGTCACGCCGAAGACCCAGGTTCGAATCCCCACATGGGTACAATGTGTGAAGCCCATTTCTGGTGTCCCCCGCCGTGATATTGCTGGAATATTGCTAAAAGCGGCGTAAAACCAAACCCAGTCAGGCAGTCAACATCAAATATGTCCTAAAAATGTCTAGCATATTTCAACAACTTGAAGGCTAAAGGCTTTCAAAGCGTTTTGTTAGCGTAAGTGACTGATTATGGTTTTACGCCGTTTTTAGTAATATTCCAGCAATATCACGGCGGGGGATACCAGAATGGGCTTCACAAATTGTACCCATGTGGGGCTACCCCACCGCCCCTTTGTTAGCGTAAAGTATGGATGAACCGATTACATTAGTCTAATATTTGCTTCATGAGAGAGTTGTATTTCCAAACATGGTTTCAATATCATGACGTTTTATATAAAAGAAACAATTTAACCTTATGTGGTTGAAACATATTTTTATTCATGAAAGAATCTGGTTTGGTAAACAAGCAAAGCTTTGCTTTTGTGAATACTTCACCAGTACACATATAACACCCTAGAACACGCAGGAACTAGACAAAAGAGACAGAATGAAATAGACAAAATGAAGTAAAATAAAATCGTAGCATCGTATGTGCATTGAAAATTGTAATTAATAATCCGCTTGCAGTTACTTTTCATTACTTTTTGTCTAGGTACTTGTTATCTTTTATTTGGTTTAGACTGGTTTATCGATTCGTTTAAATAGACTTGCAAACGAATTGGTCGGGGGCTCTATATAATATTCTTGTTTTCATTATTGGTAGTTGGTGGTGTTCCTTATAACACAGTTTGGACGTTGTGGCCACTTACATGAAAGTATGCATTATTTCTAATGGCAGTACATAATGTACATGTAAGGAGATAATGAATAATTTTTTCACTGTGGTATCCACAAGCGCATTCAGCATTAGTTGACATATATCTGTTGACTTTATCCGCGTTTAGATCACTGCAGCCGAGCTTGAGACGACTGTGTACAATCTGACAAAATCGATAAGAATGAGTAAAAATCTCGTACTGATGGGAACGTATGTACCCCCCACTGTCTCTCCCTTCTACCACTCTACAGATCATGTGACAGCCATATGTTTAGCAGTGGCTCACCCATAACGCAGACAGCAGCTTCGAGACAGTAATGTGCGGGGACCTTAACGCACGGGTCGGGCGTGGCAACAACCCCCCAGAGACAGTTGACCGGCCACGGGTCGACAGAGCAGCGTTTCCCGAGGAGGAGAGCGTACCTCTTGACACGAGAAGCTTGTGTGATCTAATTGTAAATACGTTTGGAAGAAAATTACTTGATCTTTGCTTTACTCATCATTTGTACATATGTAATGGTAGATGTGTGGGAGATATAGAGGGGAACTTTACATATATATCAGAAGCTGGCTCGAGCGTTATTGACTTTTTTTATTGCATCTGCAAATATTCATTCACATTGTAAATACTTAACGGTGCACTCAAGAGTTGAATCGAAGCACATGCCTGTTAGTTTGATGTTAAGCTTTGATGCACTTGAGACTGCACCTGTAGATAACAGTGGTGATAATGATAATGAAGGTTCAGCTCGATATATGTGGAATGGAGATAATGTACAAACCTTTTTAGATTCATTGTGTGAACAACTACCGGTTCTTGATGATTTAGTAGATTTAGTTAATGTTGATGTCAACAAAGCACTTGATATATTTGTCAAACATATTTTGAAATCAGCAGATGTGTTTAAAACGATACCTTATAAAGCAGCTAATCGTGGATTTTATACTAGTAGATGTCAGTATGCTAAGCGAGAGGCTAGAAGAGAATTGAGACGTTACAGAAACACTAAATCAGCCGTCAGTAGACGCAGATATTGTGAACTAAGGAATAAATACAAATATGAATGTAGAAAAGCTAAGTTAATATTTCAGCAAAAGAAAAGTGCTAAGTTAAAATCTTCTATCCATAACACTTCTGCTTTTTGGAAAGAGTTGAGAAGTCTGAATAATACAAAGAGCTCCCGTTGTCCATTAGATAAATCTTTATTGTATAATCATTTTAAAAGGTTGTTCACACCCAAAATCAAGCTGATGATACCATTGAGAATGATTTTTTCAGTCCTGATGTAAATATTCCTTTAAGTGACATTGATCGCTGTATTCTTGAGTCTGCTATCACTGATGAGGAAATAACTTCATGTCTTTTTCATCTGAAAAATGGCAAGTCAGCTGGTAGAGATGGTGTAATTGTTGAACTGTTGAAATCATCTATACATATTATTATGCCTTATTTAAAGATATTGTTTAATAGTATTTCTAACTCAGGTGTTTTCCCCATGGCTTGGGCCAAAGCAATAGTTATTCCTTTACATAAAAAGGGTGATCGCAAAACCCCAGATAATTACAGGGGGATTTCTTTATTGTGTATATTAAGTAAATTATATACATCTATTTTAAATGTCTGTATCACGAACTGGGCAAATATATGGAGTAAAGTTCCCGAAACACAAGCAGGCTTTAGACAAGGGTACTCTACGATTGATCATATTTTTACTTTGCATGGTGTTATAGAAAAATGTCTAATTAAGAAAAGGAAATAGTTATATGTTGCTTTTATTGATTTTAGAAAAGCCTTTGATTCAATTGACACTTCTAAGTTATATAAGCGCGTATTCAAATCTGGTTTACATGGGAAAATGCTAACTGCTATAATGAGTATTTACAGCTCGGTAATAGCTTGTGTTAGAAGTGGTAACGAATATACTGAGTATTTTGACTGTCCAATTGGTTTAAAGCAAGGTTGCGTTCTTAGCCCTTTATTGTTTTCCTTTTTCATTAGTGAATTATCAGACGACATATCTAGATATGGTAAATATGGAGTGCAGTTATTTCCAGACTTATTAGAAATCATGTTACTTATGTTTGCAGATGATGTTGTTCTTATATCTGATACAATTCCAGGCTTACAGAATCAACTTAATATTCTACATAATTCCACTGAATATTCAGGTCTAAAAGTAAACTTAGACAAGACAAATATTGTTGTTTTTAGAAGGGGAGGGCGCTTAGCAAGAAATGAACAGTGTTTTTTAAATGACCAACCAGTAACAACATTAAATACTTATAAATATTTGGGAGTTCTATTTTCATCAACATTTAAGATAAGAAATTGCATCAATGATTTAGCACTTAGAGGTAAATGGGCTTTAATGGAAGTAATAAGTAATTTAAATGGAATTGGAATAGTAGACTCCAGTGTGTATTTAAAGATAATTGATGCACAGATACAGCAGATATTACTGTATGGGGCAGAAATCTGAGGAATACAAAAATTTTATGAAATTGAAAAGGTTCATCTAACAGCTTGCAAACGTTTCTTGAATGTCAGCCCTCAAACACCTACTGCTATTGTATATGGCGAGTGTGGAAGGTATCCTCTCTGTCTAAACGCATTGTGTAAAACTTTAAAATATTGGTTAAAGGTTATTCATACGCATCAAGTGAGTGAGTGAGTATGGTTTTACGCCGCTTTTAGCAATATTCCAGCAATATCACGGCGGGGACACCAGAAATGGGCTTCACACATTGTACCCACGTGAGGGAATCGAACCCGGGTCTTCGGCGTGACGAGCGAACGCTTTAACCACTAGGCTACCCCACCGCCCCATATGCATCAAGACAGAACTCCCCTGAAAGTGTACAAAATGCAAATGTATCACGATAACTGTGGATATAAGACATATGCTTCATATATTAGAGAAATACTTTTTTCACATGGATTTGGTTACGTCTAGATGTCTCAGACAGTTGGTGATGCAGCTTCATTTGTAAATAGATTCAAGACTGTTGCAATCAATATGTTTCTTCAATCATGGAATTATACATTGAACATTATACAGTTCAAGACTTTTACCGAGAGTTTAAAAGTCTGTTAACTCCAGAAATATATTTATCATGTATCTTGGACAAAAAGTGTCGAAATATTTTGATCAAATTTAGATGTGGGTTATTAAGGTTAAAGTATAATGAGGGAAGATGGTTAAATGTTGAGGTTGCAGAACGTAATTGTCCATTGTGTAAGCTGGGTGTGGAAGATGAGTATCATTTTATTTTTATATTACTGAACATAACTCCCTTAGATTAAAATACTTGCAATATGTATATCAGAAAGAACCAAACTACTATAAATTTAAGTCCCTGTTATCAACAAATAATGAAACACTTTTAAGAAATTTTAAGAATATATCTTTCATGCTTATAAAATCAGAGCAATCAAACTCCAATAAATTTTCTTTAAACCACACATTTTTCCATTTTAAATGTTTATAAAGGTGTGTATATATGTTTATATTAAATATTATATTTATAC